AAATCTATGCCATTATCAACTGCGTTACCGTTAAGACCTGCTTTTTGTCACCGCTTGAAATGGTCTCTTTTGCTCTTGTTTTTACGGACACACCTCAAATATTGCCACCCCTCCTACCTCAGCGCAAACGAGCTGATGTTAGACTGTCAGCGAGCTGATGTTAATCTGGCGTTAGGGCTGTAAAATGCCAGTGCGCCAGTTTTTGCATGATGAAATTGCAAACTAATGTGCATTTGACACTTGCGCCTCCTTAGCGCCAGCTGAAAAATAGAGCTACCAGATGTTTGATAAAATGTTTTTTTATTGATATTAAAAATTAAAGTACATGTATTGTGCATTTCGGACATTGTAGCATGCAGATGTTCAATCAATAAAATACACATGGGCTGAGTGTGTTACTGACACAAAAATAACTGCTGATGCTCGCCAAGAGATCCCTTCATATCCAGAGCAAAGAAGTGGTTGTCTTCTACGTCAATCAAAAGAACACTAGAGTTGCCTGTTTGAACAATACAATAGTGAATGCAGTCTTAGCAGGGAGAACACATTTCTAATCAAATTTGATAAACAATTAAATAAACCTTGTCCTTGTCACTGTCTGGAAACAAGATACATGTAGATAACCTTCTGGGAAATCTAATAATAGTATTAATAATTGCACTGCTTTGTTACACAACTGAAGTGTAATTTAGAATCAAAGACAGGGAGTCATAAAGGTCACAGGCTAGGTCAGGGCCCCCTTAAGGTGGAGGGGAAGAGAGAGGATATTCAGTATTGGCTTGATTCACCCCTACCCCTCCTGCTGGGATGAGTATCTGTTACCTAGGCAGATATCATATAAAATTGCAAGAAATAAAAGTGGCACAGACTTCCAGCATGGAAGTCTGTGCAAATCATACTAAAATGAACTTTTTGTTATTGTTGATGTCATTGACATTATTGTTGTTATAGAAATGTTTCTTCTTTTACCCATTATTTTTGTACTATACTCTTCTTATTTAATTCTATTGAATGAAAGGTTGTTGTGGCCAGATAGTCTCACTATACTAATTTATCCCTTACACTCAACAACAACTCCACATCTCCCTTTTTAGAAGCTATATATTTTCCTGAGTAGTTCAACTGCTTAAAAAATGGTTCAGTGTGGTAGCCCTTCATCGAGTACATGTTGATGATAGATCAGGGTTGGGGTGGTATAGGAGGGATGCTCCACCTCTGTGCCTATGGCAACAGGCCCAACCGTTCATACTATGAATGGCACTGGCATAAAGGCTCTTTATATAACATGATGCACATTAATACAGAGAGAAAGAAAATGTAAATGTAGGATAAAAAGGACTGATCAGCAATACTGAAGTGCTTTTAAAACGTAGTGAGTTGAGTACAATCAATGCATAATGTTGTTGAACTGGTATTTGCTACTCAGGTCAGTCATGGATATGTTACTTTAACACAGAGATACCGTCCAGGCTTCTGAATGTCCATGCCGACCAGTGTAGTCAAAGTATATGCCTATTTCTGTGACATAACAAGCCTAAGCAATCCAGGCTATTCTACTGTTAAAATATTTAAGTAACTCTGTGACTCTGAAATATTTTTGGTACAAAGCATCTACAAAAAGCATTACAAGTTAAATGGGAAAAATGTTTGATCATACAAAGAAATCTGTCAGTTGAGCATCAGTGCTACTATGTATATTATTTGGACAAGGTTTCATATATATTTTTTAAACGAAATAAATAATGCCTTTATACAGTGCCCTTATTTGTATTTCATCAAACAAACAAAAAAAGCTTGGTGGCTCATTATGCAAGATCTCCCCTGGAAACTATTTATATACACACTACCAGTCAATGGTTTGGACACACATACTCATTCAAGGATTTATCTTTATTTTTAATATTTTTTTACATTTTAGAATAATAGTGAAGACATCAAAACTATGAAATAACAAATATGGAATCATGCAGTAACCAAAAAAGTGTTAAACAAATCAAAATATATTTTATATTTGAGATTCTTCAAATAGCAACTCTTTGCTTTAGATGACAGCTTTGCACACTCTTGGCATTCTTTCAACCAGCTTCACGAGGTAGTCACCTGGAATGCAATTCAATTAACAGATGTGCCTTCTCAAAAGTTAATTTGTGGAATTGCTTTCCTTCTTAATGAGTTTGAGCCAATCAGTTGTGTTGTGACAAGGTAGGAGGGGTATACAGAAGATAGCTCTATTTGGTAAAAGACCAAGTCCATATTATGGCAAGAACAGCTCAAATAAGCAAAGAGAAACGACAGTCTATCATTACTTTAAGACATGAAGGTCAGTCAATACGGAAAATTGTGCAGTTACAAAGAATTGTGCAGTTGCAAAAACCATCAAGCGCTATGATGAAACTGGCTCTCATGAGGACCGCCACAAGAAGGGAAGAACCAAAGTTACCTCTGCTGCAGAGGATATTTTCATTAGAGTTACCAGCCTCAGAAATTGCAGCCCAAATAAATGCTTCAAAGAGTTCAAGTAACAGACACATCTCAACATCAACTGTTCAGAGGGGACTGAGTGAATCAGGCCTTCATGGTCGAATTGCTGCAAAAGAAAAACACTACTAAAGGACCCCAAAAAGAAGAAGATACTTGCTTGGGCCAAGAAACACGAGCAATGGAAATTAGACCCGTGGAAATGTTTCCTTTGGTCTGGAGTCCAAATTTGAGATTTTTGGTTCCCACCGCTGTGTCTTTGAGAGACGTGGTGTGGGTGAACGGATGATCTCCCCTTGTGTAGTTCCCACCGTAAAGCATGGAGGAGGTGTTATGGTGTGGGGGTTCGTTGCTGGTGACACTGTCTGTGATTTATTTAGAATTCAAGGCACACTTAACCAGCATGGCTACCACAGCATTCCGCAGCGTTACGCCATCCCATCTGGTTTGGGCTTAGTGGGAGTATAATTTGATTTTCAAGAGGACAATGACCCAACACACCTCCAGGCTGTGTAAGGGCTATTTTACCAAGAAGGTGAGTGATGGAGTGCTGCATCAGATGACCTGGCCTCCACATTCCCCCGATCTCAACCCAATTGAGATGGTTTGGGATGAGTCGGATAGCAGAGTAAAGGAAAAACAGCCAACAAGTGCTCAGCATATGAGGGAACTCCTTCAAGACTGTTGGAAAAGCATTCCAGGTGAAGCTGGTAGAGAGAATGACAAGAGTGTGCAAAGCTGTCATCAAGGCAAAGGGTGGTTATTTGAACAATCTCAAATATAAAATATATTTTGATTTGTTTAACAGTTTTTTGGTTACTACATGATTCCGTATGCGTTATTTCATAGTTTTGATGTCTTCACTATTATTCAACAATGTAGAAAATATTACAAATATAGAAAAACCCTTGAATGAGTAGGTGTGTCCAAACTTTTGACTGGTACTGTATATATATATATATATATATATATATATATATATATACTGTATATATTCAAGTATTTGTTTTCAGGCAAAAGCATGTGAAAACTACTGCTATACAATCAAACATTTTATGTTAGTTGACATTATTGCAGTTTTTTTCCCAGGCTTTGAATTTAATTTAAATTTGTGCCTTTCTTAAAAAACATCAAATAATATTCTAACAATAACCATGGACAAAATGTCAAACTAAAAATATGCCTTTTTCACAAAAAATAGGAACGTCACGGTACCAGAAACTGTCAAGGTTTTCAATTTTTTAAACATAGATATGAAAAGAAAAAAACGAATATGTCAAAAACAAAAAATGTATTCATCATCATCCCATTCGTTATGTGTCCATATTAATGTGTCACTTCCTGCCAGAGCAGGTCAGGGTTATACAAAGCCACGAAAAAACAGGAAGTACTGTCCCGGAACAGGAAGTCCCAATCCAGGCAGTCCATAATGTCCAATTTGTGTCCCCACAATGCTCCCCGTTCTCCTAGGGCCTTGGGGCCATCGAAGGGGGAGCAGGAGGTGGATGTCAGGTCCCCCATACCACTTCCTCCGCCGAGCCGTTAGCGCCGAGTGCTAACACGAGCCGTTAGCCGTGATGCTAACGTAGCCTATGGCTCCTTTCAGTGACACGTCCCCCTATAACTTTGCAACAGCCAAGTACTTTGCATCCTTTATTCTACTTTTTCAAGTCACACTTTCCTTAAAACGGAAAATTTTAATATTCATTCAAAGAAAAAAAACGTGTTCAACCTCTTCTTCTTTGAGTCCATTCCCAAAGCTAGCACCATGACATTTATTTAAGCAACACGTTTATTGTTCATTAAAAAAAAGTGCCTTTTTTTCTTTACTTTGACGTAATCCGTGGCATTGTGCAATTTTGCAGACTTCTTTTATGTTTTCTGTTTGCGATTAAAAGGTGCTGGAACAGGAATCAAATTGTATAAAATAATTCCTTACAGTGTGAAAGGCCCTTTATAGTTACAGGTGCAAAATAATAAGAAAAAGGACTAACAGAAAGAAAAAAGATCTGCCTCAGGAAGGCCTTCCACAAGGACAAAAAACATTCCGCCTGCTGTCCTCTTGACACTTGCAAGCCATAGAGCTCTTTCATATTCTTCTTCTTTTCTTCCTTTCTTTCTCTTTTTAATTTAAGAATCCACCTGAATTGCATCCAGCCTTGTTGTTAACTTTTTGTTCATCGTTTGTGTTGGTGCCTTTTGTGTCAGTGAATGAAAGAGAGAGAGAGAGAGAGAGAGAGAGAGAGAGAGAGAGAGAGAGAGAGAGAGAGAGAGAGAGAGAGAGGAGAGAGAGAGAGAGAGAGAGAGAGAGAGAGAGAGAGAGTAGAGACAGGAAGAATGTGAACATATGTTTGATTGTCTGGGTGAGGAGGGCTGGGGTAGGTTGGGGTTGGTTGGGGGGCTCAGTGGGGCAGGGCTTGGGGGTGGGGGGAGAGGTCAAAAGAGGGCTTGCCACAGAAATGATGTCAGAGACAAAGCTATAATCCCCTATTTTTTTTCCCCCAATCTCCCTCCAAACTTGTCTGTGCAAAGGACTTGCGATGGGGGGGGTTGGGGTGCTGGTTGGGAGGCTCGCTGTGGCTGACGTAATTGTCCGTGGGGTACAGGACTGGGGGAAGCTTGTTGGGCAGGGTGATCAGGGGCAGGTGGAACATCGCCTGCTCCTGGGCCTTGATCTTCTCTGCCTGCCTCTGGAACTTCCGGGCCCTGAGGATGGCCGGGACACCTCTCCGGAGCCGCTGAGCAGCTTTCCTCTGCCACACCTCGTATTTAGAATATTTCATGGTCACATATTTTCTTTGGACATCCTGTGGAGTCAGGAAAGAGAGAGAGAGAGAGAGAGAGAGAGAGAGAGAGAGAGAGGGAGGGTGGGGGGGGGGGGTTAAAATATTTGTCGGCACATTGGGTGCCCACCATACACTGAAGGTAGCTGCCGATTCTGATTACAACGTCTATCATGTCTGAGGGAATGCGGGATACTCACTCAACGCATATGGGAGACCAGACATTAATTGTTCACTAAATGACCCTTTAGCTAACCCACCCCTTCTCCCCAACACACACACACACACAAACACACATTGTGGCAGTAAACACATTCCGGTTGAACACCATCCCTGGCCAACTCCTTAAAACAGGGAGACTGGGAAATCCCCAAGGCTGAGGCAGAGGGGGATTGTTTGTGTGTGTGTGTATGTGTGTGTGTGCATGTGCGTGTGCCTGCGTGCATGCGTGCATATATGTGAGAGAGACAGAACGAGAGAGACACGGAGATTGGGTGGGGTGGGGGCAGAATTTATCTACGACTAGTACTCCTCCTAAATGGATTGTTTTGGTCCTGCCACTTTGAGAGTACTCTGTGTCTCTTTCTTCCTACACACACAAAACAGCTGGGGGAAAGAGAGAGAAAGAGAGAGAGAAAGAAGAGAGAGCAAGGGAAACGGAGTAAGAGAGAGTGTGAGAGTGTAAGAGAGAGTGTGAGGGAGAGAGTGTGAGAGAGAGTGTGTGTGAGAGAGAGAGAGACTGGGGATGTGTCCGAACATATCCGCCTCACACTCACAACACGTAGTAGACGAGAACCATTAGTCTTCAACAGCCCTATGCTTAGCCTGAAAGAGTCGTAAAGAAAGTTGCTCAAATTTACTTAATAGTGCTAAACAGTCATTAGCAGTTCTAAATAGTCCTATCACCTTCTCCTTCTTTTGCAACCAACTGATGTTGAAATGAAATGGCAGGTGAACGTTAAAACGGAGGGATATCAATCCAACCCTGAGGGGGTAGTCATAAAGAACAGGAGACGAGAAGAGGAAGACATTTACAGTAAGAGGTTTGGAACGCTGCCCACAGTTGAGATTGTTGTTGACAAAATTCAAAAGCCTGCAGCTTCATTTCAATTTTGTTTGTATGCTTAATTTTGACATGATTTACAGCACATTGTTTCTCAGGGCTAGGTAGTTAGTGCTGTTTCGGCGAAGGGTGCCAAATGTATGTGAGTTTTGAAGCATCTAGTGTTCCGTGACTAATCGAGGCACACTGCAAATGTTAAAAAAAGGATCTTGAAGGAGGCTGTATGAATCAGATCCTAACAGTCAGTGTAACGCGTCACAACATTTTCTAATCTGCTCACTTCCTCGCCAGTTGTGACCTTATTAACCGAAACAGGCACACACACACACGCAAACATACAAACATTCACACATACACTCACACACACCTGCAGTTGACCCTGCTCCGCTCTACCCAAATGTACTCTCGGGCCCTGTCGTTTTCCACCTCGGTCAGCAGGTGGAAAACACAACCTATGGCTTTATTTCTGCTCCCATAGACGGGGGCATATGGGTTCAGTATGCAGTGGAACGGAGACAGATGAGATGTGGGGAAATACACTTCCGGTCAAAAGTTTTAGAACACCTACTCATTCAAGGGTTTTCTTTATTTTTACTATTTTCTACATTGTAGAATAACAATGAAGACATCAAAACTATGAAATAACACATATGGAATCATGTAGTAACCAAAAAAGTGTTAAACAAATCAAAATATATTTTAGATTTGAGATTCTTCAAATAGCCACCCTTTGCCTTGATGACAGCTTTGCACACTCTTGGCATTCTCTCAACCAGCTTCACCTGGAATGCTTTTCCAACAGTCTTGAAGGAGTTCCCACATATGCTGAGCACTTGTTGGCTGCTTTTCATTCACTCTGATATCCGACACATCCCAAACCATCTCAATTTGGTTGAGGTCGGGGGATTGTGGAGGCCAGGTCATCTGATGCAGCACTCCATCACTCTCCTTCTTGGTAAAATAGCCCTTACACAGCCGGGCGGTGTGTTGGGTCATTGTCCTGTTGAAAAACAAATGATAGTTCCACTAAGCCCAAACCAGATGGGATGGCGTATGGCCGCATAATGCTGTGGTAGCCATTCTGGTTAAGTGTGAATTCTAAATAAGTCACAGACATTGTCACCAGCAAAGCACCCCCACATCATAACACCTCTTCCTCCATGCTTTACGGTGGAAAATACACATGCGCAGATCATCCGTTCACCCACATCACGTCTCACAAAGACACGGCGGTTGGAACCAAAAGTCTCCAATTTGGACTCCAGACGAAAGGACACATTTCCACGGGTTTAATGTCCATTGCCCGTGTTTCTTGGCCCAAGCAAGTCTCTTCTAATTATTGTGGTCCTTTAGAAGTGGTTTCTTTGCAGCAATTTGACCATGAAGGCCTGATTCACACAGTCTCCTCTAAACAGTTGATGTTGATTACTTGAATTATGAGAAGCATTTATTTAGGCTGCAATTTCTGAGGCTGATAACTCTAATGAACTTATCCTCTGCAGCAGAGGTAACTCGGAGTCTTCCATTCCTGTGGCGGTCCTCATGAGAGCCAGTTTCATTATAGCGCTTGAAGTTTTTTGTATATATATGTATATATTAAACAAATTAAAATTAAAAATATACTCTAAAAATAATAATTGTAAAGTGGTTGTCCCACTGGCTATCATTAGGTGAATGCACCAATTTGTAAGTCTCTCTGGATAAGAGCGTCTGCTAAATGACGTAAATTAAAATGTACATTTCATAGTTTTGATGTCTTCGCTATTATTGTACGATGTAGAAAATAGTAAAAATAAAGAAAAACCCTTGAATGAGTAGGTGTTTGAAAAACTTTTGACCGGTAGTGTATATGGACACAGGGACAGGTCAAGGACAGATGAGGACAAGTAGGGATGGTTTCCTGGTTTTCCTATACAGGTTTGCTAAGAGGTTATTGTCGTACCTGTTTGAGTGTGGGCACCATGGATATGACCTGCAGAGAGGTGTCTGACACGTCCCTCTCTGACTTGGCAGGTTTGGCACAGTACTGCTCCAACAGGTTGAGGTCACAGCTACGGAAACAACACTCCTCCACGATCCCACGGTTCTGGGAGCGTCTGCTGTTAGACCTGCTGGTTGGCCTACCTGCAGAGAGAGAGAAGAAGGGATGGAGAGCAAGAGAGAGAGAAAGAGAGAGAAAGAGAGAGAGAGAGAAATCATTAGGACATGAGGCAATGAAGTGAATCAAGATAGCGGCATTGGCAGTTTGGTCAAATCCATCAAATCCATAATGTTTTCCACCAAGTGACAAATCCACTTCACTTTGTCCAAACACAGGATGAAAGGCTATCTGAGGCCAACTCTGACAGAAGTTGATGTTTGTTTGTTTGCTTGTTTATATGTTTGTTTGTTTGTTTGTGGAAGTGGTAATCTTGTCAGGGTATCTACAGTAATTGAGACATCCAGAAGTCCTTTAGTGGGTAAATACATCAGTAAACACTCCTCACACACTGGAGACTGCAGCAGACCTGGGCAGAAAATAGTTGTATTTTGTAGTTTATTTGGAAATACCAACTTTTCAAATTCTCAAATTGTTAAATATAGAGTTTCAAATCAAATGTAACTATATTTTTGGGATATTCAAATACAGGTCTCAGAAAACCACATCATATTTGAAGCTATTTGAATATATGCAAGTTATTTGAAAACAAAACAAAAATGTTATTTGATGACTGACAATTATTTGATGAAGAACCAAAAACTACAACAGTTAGTTGAATTAGTATAAATATGATCATTAGCACATAGTTTGGAGGGCTCTCAGATATAAATCTTAATATAGCCTAGAATTAAATACATGAGGGACATGGAATAACTTCAACATTAGAGAGGACCACTTGTGCAGGTTCAAAATTACTTACAAATAGATTTTCGTAAGAGTGAGATGTAAGGTAATACAGATACACTTGACATCAAGTTCTTACACATGTGTAGTAACTTTGCGATTATTACATTAGCGAATTGTTGTTACATAGGACTTTGGAAATTGCTTCATAATTGCATAATAATGGAGTTGTTACAGAAGTGGAATGAGGAATAGACACTATTCCTCTTGTGTACAGTATTTACAAAAACTCTCAGCTCATTGCTATGTAATTACCAACGTATTATGTAACAACATGTTAATAAAATGTTGCTCCAAAAGTAATTACAGTTTTATTACACAGGTACAAGAACAGTTGAATGTTAAGTGCTACTGAGAATGCTAACAGTAACAAAACATGGCTATTAAGTGTCGAAAGGAAACTCAATTTCCCAAAACTGCCTTCTTGAATCAACTACAGCCAAGGTAGGTGGAAAATCATGTTAATTTGTATTCTGAGTAAACAATCCCTTTAAATATGGTATAGTGTGTGTTTGAAACAAGTGTTTTTGCTAAGCATCCAACTTGCTGTTTGCAATGTTTGTACATGGCTTTGAATTTCTCTGCAGTATTTTCAGGTATCATAACATGTATTGCAGCTTTCAACCTTTTCAGTGGCATGCTGAAAGGTCACACAGTAGTTGAGTGTCACAACTTATTTATACTTACAGTTGAAGTCGGAAGTTTACATACACATTAGCCAAATATATTTAAACTCAGCTTTTCACAATTCCTGACATTTAATCCTAGGAAAAATTCCCTGTCATAGGTCAGTTAGGATCACCACTTTATTTTAAGAATGTGAAATGTCAGAATAATAGTAAAGAGAATGATTTATTTCAGCTTTTATTTCTTTCATCACATTCCCAGTGGGTCAGAAGTTTACATACACTCAATTAGTATTTGGTAGCATTGCTTTTTAAATTGTTTAACTTGGGTCAAACGTTTTGGGTAGCCTTCCACAAGCTTCCCACAATAAGTTTGGTGAATTTTGGCCCATTCCTCCGGACAGAGCTGGTGTAACTGAGTCAGGTTTGTAGGCCTCCTTGCTCGCACACGGTTTTTCAGTTCTGCCCACAGATTTTCTATAGGATTGAGGTCAGGGCTTTGTGATGGCCACTCCAATACCTTGACTTTGTTGTCCTTAAGCCATGTTGTCCTTAAGCCATTTTGCCACAACTTTGGAAGTATGCTTAGGGTCATTGTCCATTTGGAAAACCCATTTGCGACCAAGCTTTAACTTCCTGACTGATGTCTTGAGATGTTGCTTCAATATATCCACATAATTTTCCTTCCTCATGATGCCATCTATTTTGTGAAGTGCACCAGTACCTCCTGCAGCAAAGCACCCCCACAGCATGATGCTGCCACCCCCGTGCTTCACGGTTGGGATGGTGTTCTTCGGCTTGCAAGAGACCCCCTTTTTCCTCCAAACATAGCGATGGTCATTATGGCCAAACAGTTCTATTTTTGTTTCATCAGACCAGAGGACATTTCTCCAAAAAGTATGATCTTTGTCTCCATGTGCAGTTGCAAACCATAGTCTGGCTTTTTTATGGCGGTTTTGGAGCAGTGGCTTCTTCCTTGCGGATCTGCCTTTCAGGTTAAGTTGATAAAGGACTCGTTTTACTGTGGGTATAGCTACTTTTGTACCTGTTTCCTCCAGCATCTTCACAAGGTCCTTTGCTGTTGTTCTGGGATTGATTTACACTTTTCACACAAAAGTACATTCATCTCTTGGAGACAGAACGCGTCTCCTGAGCGGTATGACGGCTGCGTGGTCCCATGGTGTTTATACTTGCGTACTATTGTTTGTACAGATGAACGTGGTGCCTTCAGGCATTTGGAAATTGCTCCCAAGGATGAACCAGATGTGTGGAGGTCTACAATTTTCTTTCTGAGGTCTTGGCTGATTTCTTTTGATTTTCCCATGATGTCAAGCAAAGAGGCACTGAGTTTGAAGGTAGGCCTTGAAATACATCCACAGTTACACCTCCAATTGACTCAAATTATGTCAATTAGCCTATCAGAAGCTTCTAAAGCCATAACATCATTTTCTGGAATTTTCCAAGCTGTTTAAAGGCACCGTCAATTTAGTGTATGTAAACTTCTGACCCACTGGAATTGTGATACAGTGAATTATAATTGAAATAATCTGTCTGTAAACAATTGTTGGAAAGATTACTTGTGTCATGCACAAAGTAGATGTCCTAACCGACTTGCCAAAACTATAGTTTGTTAACAAGAAATGTGTGGAGTGGTTGAAAAACAAGTTTTAATGACTCCAACCTAAGTGTATGTAAACTTCAGACTTCAACTGTATCTGTACCAAATCTCATTGGTTAATTGGTTTGACTTGATTATGTACACCTGGGGCAATGGTCATTCAGAATGGACATTTAAAAATATATTGTGTAGATCAAATATAACTGCCAAATAGATTGGAATAGTATAGGAGATTGTGTGTGCTCTATTCCTTCTATGTCTATCTTCAGCATGCAGTTCCAGATACAGCCCTGCCATTAGTTGAAGGCAGCCAATCCAATAGTTTCTGAAAAGTAATCACTTCCTGAGATCTGTATTCAAATCATTTTTAAAAGTAGTTGCTTTCCTAACTCTGTATTCAAATCGTTTCAAAAAAGTAGTTACTTTCTGATATCTGTATTCAAATAGTTTTGAAAAAGTAGTCACTTTCTGAGATCAGTATTCAAATATTTGTAGTCACCTCCAAAGTAACTTTTTGTTCCCCTCCCAATTAAAAAAAAAAACTTTCCACAAAGCATAGTTTCAACTATAGTTATACCAGGTCTGGACGGCAGATACAACACAGCCAAGCACAGAGACACATAACCAAGCACATACACAGCCATGAAGAGAGACACAGAGATTACAGACACACATAGCCAAGTACAGACACAGATACAAATAGATCTGAAGCCCTCACTCTTTGGGTGAGTAAACAAACAACATGGATGCCATCCTTTGACCTTGTCCCTTGCCAACTCAGCAGAGATAAAGGGAAGAGAGAGGGGGGAGAGTCCACAGACATCTGAAATACTAGGGGAAGACAGGAGAGGTGGGATAGATAGTGAGGGAGAGGAACAGAAGAAGAGAGGAATAAAGAATGTAGAGAAATGCACATAAAGATCAAGAGAGAGAGAGAGAGAGAGAGAGTGTGTCTCCAACAAATAGGTAGATAATGCAAGGGAGGCAGAAAGGAAAAGGGTGACTGAGAAGACATGAGAGAGAGAGAGAGAGAGAGAGAGAGAGAGAGAGAGGGATGATAAAGGAGAGATAGAGAGGGTATGAGATAGCGAGGGTATGAGAAGAGAGAGAGAGAGCAAGAGAGAGAGAGAGAAGTGTGGGCGGAGGGTTAAGTAAGTCATAGCACAGGGGAATTCTATCCACGATCAACAATGACCTTGTTTGAAGTCCTTCTTCACCCCATACACAATGTTGAAGAAACCTCAGGAGAGGCAAGGCCAGTATTTGATTACAGGAAGAGAGGAACATGAGATAGAAAGAAAGGGTGAACCAGAGGGAGGAGGAGGGGGGAGCCCATCCATGTTAGTCCAAATTGGATAATGACCTCTCTGGGTAGACAGAGGGCTTCCATGGCAAGCAGCAACTCAAAGAAGCAGACTGTTTGTCAATGCCAGTGGGTGGGAGATGACAAATATTGAATAAGTTGCGTTGTTCAACTTTTGTTTTTGCTGTCTGTGTCAGGGCAAAGGAGGGGGAGAGGACAGGGGAAGAGAGGACAGGAGAGGAACCCTCTCAGTTCTACATACTGCATGTTAATAGTTAGAATTGTTAAAATGCATTTTAGGTCAGCTAATAATAACAATCACAAAGCTGTTACTGGTATAGATCTAGATTAAGTCTACTAGAAGAGCAATACAACTATTAATAATAGTACTGTAGTAATAATCCTTGCTCAATGAAATAATTAAATCCTTCAGATCTAGATCAAACGCAGCGTGGTTGCCTATAGCCTGGGTAGATTTGTGGTGAGGTGAGTGGTATGCCTCTTGGGTGCTATTACTTTCCCGTGCGGAATGCGCTAGTAACAGGCGGCAGATAGCCTAGTGTTTAAGAGCATTGGGACAGTAACTGAAAAGTTGCTGGTTCGAAATCCCGAGCGGACTAGGTGAAAAATCTGTCGATGTGTAATAGAGCAAGGCACTTTACCCTAATTGCTCCTGTAAGTCGCTCTGGATAAGACCGTCTGCTAAATAAGCGGCCCTCAGTGTCCATTTGGGTACTATGTGTGTGCCTTCTGTCCTCACCGCTCTTTCATATGCAATCAGAGGTAGACTATAGCAGCAGAATGCGTCCACTCGGCAGTATCACGTGTGTCTTCAGACACATCACAGTGAAGCACAGCTGGCTATTAGCAAGTGAAGTGGTGTGTGTGAGAGAGTGACAGCACGCGCATACCAAACACAGTGACAAACATGCACGTGCACACAGGAACACCAGAGAAAGAGACATTCCATTTAGTTGAAAAGCCAAAAGAAATGAAAACGGAAATAAAATATTGAAGTTAAAATGGAAATAAGTGAAACCTACTGAAATAGAATCCTGTATCTCCACAGACAAACTGCAAAGCGTCCACCAGTTCTCCTCCACATAGTGTTTCTGCCGAGGCCACTTCAACGATGTACAGAGTCAGTGCCAGTGCAATGACGAGCACTCGACTTGGCGAAGACATCTTCTTGACCTGAGGAGAGAAATTTTTTTACATAGTCTACATCTAAAATCAAACATTCACTCCATGCAATAGAAACTGCTAATTGTTGGTGCCTCCCATAGCCACTGTTCAGAAATGTAGGTTACCGGCTTGAATATTGAAACATTCCAGAATCAAAGCTCAAAAGTCAGAGATATAGGCCTAGGGTTCAAAATAATATCTTGCATAAATGACCCTTACAAATAACGTACAGTGTCATGAAACCTATCCAATAAGATTTGTAAATCAAAGTGATTTTCTTACAGTTAAAAGTCTTAAAAGTAATATGGCTCAATTAAAAATTGTAATTCTGTGCAGCTTTGCACTTGAGCTGTATCTTCCACAATCATCAGCCGTTATCGCCCTATTGCATCTGGCGGAGAGTTGCTTATTCTGAGGGAAAAGATACTTATCTCTGCTGCCGCACTCTTACACAACAGGCTCAACAAGTTGCAAGACAGGCTATTCAATAGTCAACTATCACAATCCCCATACTCTCTCAATCCCCATATATTTCCCCTAGCTCACCCTCTGGTAAGGGGCAGACTGAGCTCTCTGAACCGCAGGACTCTCGCCCCCTAGTGGCCTTTGAGGCATCTCCTGGCAGTCCCTAGTTCAGCAAAGGGACGCAAGAACAAGGCACGAGCGGAGAAGAAGATTATGTTTCGGGAGAACATACCCCAGAGAAAAGGTAAGCTATTGTAGCCGACTGAAAAGTAGCTAAATGCAAGAATCAACCCATCTCAATGTGTGCACCCTCCAAATTCTCACTGCGTCAAGTAATTTCTATTTCATCACGTTCTCAAATTCTCCCTTCTCTCCAAAATGCACAAACACAAAAAACACAAGCTTGCGTAAAAGCCAATTACACGTCTTTTCAATTTAGAAAAATGTATTGTTTTACGTGGACAAAACAAGTAGAAGAGCAAGAAATGTCAGGTCTCCACAGATTACCTTCATTTTTGTGTTTTCCATTCTCTGGCAGGTGTGACAAACTGAGCGGTGTCTTTGCTGGGTTTCCATGTTAGTTGGCTGTAGTCTAACGTTGAGCGCTATTTGGTTGGAGAGGTTGCAGGTGAGTTATTTTCCCAGTTGGGGAGGGCTATAGAGATGTGAGTGAGGCTGTCCCAAAGACCAGGCAACAAGGAAAAGTTCTCAGGGAGAAGTATTATATACCAAAACCCGCCCCTTACCTCCCCTTCTCCATGCCCCCCTCCTCACGAGGCCAACGACGCTCTATGGAAAGACGGTGTGTGTGAGAGAGAGAGCGTGAGAGAGAGAGAGAAAGTGTGTGTGATAGAGAGAGAGAGAGAGAGAGAGAGATAGAGAGAGAGAGAGAGAGAGAGAGAGAGAGAGAGAGAAAGAGAGAGAGAGAGAGAGAGAGAGAGAGAGAGAGAGAGAGAGGCCCAATTTTAAACAATGACTACTTTTGGACTGTAGCCTACAATGACTACTTTTTACAAGTGTCTCGTAGCCTACATAAACGTCTGGTGGTACTGGAAGTAAAACATTCAAATGTAATAACCCCTAAAAGTCTAAGCCTTGGGGGGGAGGAGGATTCTAGTAATTTGACCATACTGCTATTAGCCCACTGAAATGCATTGAACAACATATTCATACTTTACATGGCAAAACTGAAAGAGGGGACAATCTGAACTAAATATTTTTCTTAATGGAAAAATTTTTCTAAAGATATTTCACAGTTGAAACAAAAATACTGCAAAGGACAGTGTAGTACTAAATGTGTTGGAAATTGCCTAAAACAGGAGGAGGCACATGCACGTACCGATAGGACACATGGGAAGTGAGTAGCTCCGTTTTGTGCCGTCAATACTGTGATTACACACTGAATTTAAATATAAACGCAACATGTAAAGTTTTGGTCCCATGTTTCATGAGCTGATATAAAAGATCCCCGAAATTTTCCACAAGTACAAAATGCTTATTTCTCATTTTTTTTTGCAAAAATGTGTTTACATCCCTGTTAGCGAGCATTTCTCCTTTGTCAAGATCATCCTGACAGGTGTGGCATATCAAGAAGCTGATTAAACAGCATGATCATTACACAAGTGCACCTTGTGCTGGGGACAATAAAAGGCCACTCTAAAATGTGTAGTTTTGTCACACAACACAATGCCACAGATGTCTTCCATGCCATAGGTTACTTCCTAGGTTCCTGCCTTTCTTGGGAATTTTTCCTAGCCACAGTGCTTCTACATCTGCATTGCTTGCTGTTTGGGGTTTTAGGCTGGGTTTCTGTATAGCACTTTGTGACATCTGCTGATGTAAAAAGGGCTTTATAAATATATTTGATTGATTGGTTGAATGAATTAACACAATTGCATTTTATCGATGGCAATTTGATTGCACAGAGATACCGTGATGAGATCCTGAGGCTCATTGTCGTGCCATTAATCTGCTTCCATCACCTCATGTTTCAGCATGATAATGCACGGCCCCATGTCGCAAGGATCTGTATACAATTCCTGGAAGCTGAAAATGTCCCAGTTCTTCCATGACCTGCATACTCACCAGACATGTCACCCATTGAGCATGTTTGGAATACTCTGGATCGACATGTACGACAGCGTGTTCCAGTTCCCGCCAATATCCAGCAACTTCGCACAGCCATTGAAGAGGAGTGGGACAACATTACACAAGCCACAATCAACAGCCTGATCAACTCTATGTGAAGGAGATCTGTCGTGCTGCATGAGACAAATGGTGGTCACACCAAACACTGACTGGTTTTCTGAAACACGCCCCTACTATTTATTAAGGTATCCATGACCAACAGATGCATATCGGTATTCCCAGTCATTTGAAATCGATAGATTAGGGCCTAATTAATTTATTTCAAGTGACTGATTTCCTTATATGAACTGTAATTCTTTGAAATTGTTGCATGTTTCGTTAATATTTTTTGTTCAGTGCATCTACATCTGCATTGCTTGCTGTTTGGGGTTTTAGGCTGGGTTTGATTGATGCATTCGGAAGGTACTCAAAACTCTTGACTTTTCCACATTTTGTTACGATACAGCCTTATTCTAAAATTGATTAAATTGTTTTTTCCCCTCATCAATCTACACATCAATCTACACACAATACCCCATAATGACAAAGAAAAAACAGTTAAGAATTTTTGCAAATGTATTAAAAATAAAGAACTGAAATATACCATTTACATAAGTGGTCCTCTGTAGCTCAATTGTGGTCCTCTGTAGCTCAATTGGTAGAGCATGGCGCTTGTCACTGGGACCACCCATACGTTAAAAAAATGTACGCGCACATGACTGTAAGTCGCTTTGGATCTGCTAAATGGCACATTATTATTATATTGAAGTATTCAGACCCTTTACTCAGTACTTTTTTGAAGCACCTTTGGCAGCGATTACAGCCTCGAGTCTTCTTTAGTATGACACTACAAGCTTGGCACACCTGTATTTGGGGAGTTTCTCCCATTCTTCTCTGCAGATCCTCTCAAGCTCTGTCAGGTTGGATGGGGAGCATCGCTGCACAGCTATTTTCAGGTCTCTCCAGAGATGTTCAATCGTGTTCAAGTCCGGGCTCTGGCTGGGCCACTCAAGGACATTCAGAGACTTTTCCCGAAGCCACTCCTGCATTGTCTTGGCTGTGTGCTTAGGGTCGTTGTCCTGTTGGAAGGTGAACCTTCGCCCCAGTCTGAGGTCCTGAGCACTCTGGAGCAGGTTTTCATCAAGGATCTCTCTGTACTTTTTTCCGTTCATCTTTCCCTCGACCCTGACTAGTCTCCCAGTCCCTGCCGCTGAAAAACATCCCCACAGCATGATGCTGACACCACCATGCTCTGGCTCCAGACGTGACGCTTGGCATTCTTGGTTTCATCAGACCAGAGAAACTTGTTTTTCATGGTCTGAGAGTCTTTAGGTGCCTTTTGGCAAACTCCAAGTGGGCTGTCATGTGCCTTTTACTGAGGAGTGGCTTCCGTCTGGCCACTGTACCATAAAGGCCTGATTGGTGGAGTGCTGCAGAGATGGTTGTCCTTCTGGAAGTTTCTCCCATCTCCACAGAGGACCTCTGGAGCTCTGTCAGAGTGACCATCGGGTTCTTGGTCAACTCCCTTACCAAGGCCCTTCTCCCCCGATTGCTCAGTTTGGCCTGGGGGACAGCTCTAGGAAGTCTTGGTGCATCCAAACTTCTCCCATTTAAGAATGATGGAGGCCACTGTGTTCTTGGCGACCTGATCTGACATGCACTGCCAACTGTGGGACCGGGTGTGTGCCTTTCCAAATCATGTCCAATTACATTTTACATTTTAGTAATTTAGCAGACGCTCTTATCCAGAGCGACTTACAGGAGCAATTAGGGTTAAGTGCTTTGCTCAAGGGCACATCGACAGATTTTTCACCTAGTCGACTCGGGGATTAGAACCAGCGACCTTTCGGTTACTGGCACAACGCTCTTAACCACTAAGCTACCTGCCACCCAATCAATTGAATTAACCACAGGTGGACTACATCAAGTTGCAGAAACATCTCAAGGATGATCAATGGAAACAGGATGCACTTGAGCTCAATATTGAGTCTTATAGCAAAGGGTCTGAATACTTATGTAAATAAGATATTTCTGTTTAAAAAATATATACAAATTTGCAAAAATTGTGTGTAGATTGATGAGGAAATAAATACATTCAATCAATTTTAGAATAAGGCTGTAACTTAACAAAATGTGGAAAAAGTCAAGGGGTCTGAATACTTTCTGAATGCAATGTATAGTAGCCAGACAACATAGTTTAAATTAAGCATCTAAAATCAATATATCCCCAAGCAACCGGGAGAGATGAGCGTTCAGTTATATACAGCGAACCAATCTGTTGGTAAAGCGATGCTGTGACACGAACCCAAAAAGCCATTTCTTCCTTTCGAGGAAAACACAAAGAACAACTCGGCGAAAAGTGTGGCGTTAAGTGAGTGAGAAAGGAAATGGTTGCATATCCCAGAACCAACGTGTGTCTGTGAGCAGGGGTTGTTAGAGAGAGCTTTGAATTTTGTGCAGATGAGGGATATACATTTAAAAATGAAGTATACATCTAATCTATTATTTTATAGTCCTATCATGATGGAACGATCCCCATCCCTATATCCTAGACACCCACCCGAGCGACCCATACACCAAAGAGAAGTCCCCATCTGTTTTATGGACCTGCTGTGAGTTGCCTATATGTAGCCAAAACAGAATAATGAATGCAGTCAGAGACCTACTTGAGCAGCACCGCCCTCTCAAGATTCTGAGCCTGCCTGGCAGGGTTGGTCCTAAAAAGCCAGAGCCCCCTGATGGGAGAGCATAATATACAAGAAAATTCTCAAAGCTGCTAATGAGAACCTTGACGACCTTGTACCTAGCCAGTGGGGATTCCTTTGGGGTACCCCACCCGGGTAGTGGCAGTGCTGGCAACACTGGCTGCAGTAACCCATGGGGAGGGGGTCACACTCAAAATAATCAAAGGTCTGACTGCATGGAGATGCTTGGGGAAAATGAGTGTTTGTGTCTCAGGGGAAGGGGGTGGATCTGATCTCCATCACCTATGACTTGACATAGATTAATCAAATATCACATTGTTGTCCATTTTTG